GGTAAAAAAGTTCACTGGAAGGTTTTCTCAATCTTTTCTGAATATTCTTTCTCCTTTTGGGAAGAGAATTGGAATATCTCTTCTATAGATAGTACTTATAATGATTATATTCGTTTTCTTTTTCTTTTATCTACTCGTTGTACAACTTTTTTCTCTTTAGATAAATATCGTTTAGCTTTACCAGTTGAATTACGATCATTTTTATCTTATATTAGAGCTCTTTCCTTTCGACAAATTAGAACAAAATGTTTCATGTTAAAAAAAGAAGTATTATTCTTGAAAAAAATTGCTAAAAAAGAACTTAATCATTTTTTCACTTCTAAACTTGATTATCTTCTTCATGTTCGTAACTCTTCTTCACTTGCAGCTATCTATTTTTGGCATAAAAGTAAACATTGTTTAAAACCTTCTTCATCTTCTATTCATGCTCTTATTAATACATCAGGAGAAATTATTAGAGAGAATGAACAGATGTGTGAACTTGCAGCTGATTATTACGAATCTTTTTTCAAAAGTTCAAATATAATTAGACCTCATCCATATACGGATAGTCCACCAGTTATGTTTGATAATATGGACGAGGTTATTCCTGAAGTTACTTTGGATGAACTAATGAGTTCTGTTCATGCTAAACGTAAAAAGAAATCTCTCGATGCTCACGGTATTGCTAATTTTATGTTTAACTTTCTACATTTTGATCATTGGTCACTATTGTTAAAACTTTATAATTATTCCTTTCAAAATTCTATTTTACCTACTGCATGGAAAGATACTCGCATAATTTTATTAGCGAAAAAAGAACATGTATGTCCTCCATCTTTAACTCGTCCTATTTCTCTACTTGACTCCTTTCAAAAAGTTGGTGAAAAACTCTTTCTTACACGATTTCGTAATGTTCTGTTCCGAAGAGGACTGCTTCCTGATAATCAGTCTGGTTTTAGAGAAAATTTTCGTTTACAAACTCGTCTATTACTTTTCCTTGAAGATTTACGAAGTTTAATGTCAAATAGTAGCCCTATTTGCACTATTTTTGTTGATTTTCGTACAGCTTTTGATCAGTTGTGGTTTGAGGGCTGTATTGGTAAAGTTCGTCGTTTAGGTATTCCTCCAGCTTATTTAAACTGGATATATGCCTGGTTACTTGATAGAAGAGGGTTTATAGAGATTAATGAAACTAGATCTAGGTGGTTTAATATTGATAAAGGCTGTCCCCAAGGTAGTGTTTTATCACCTACTTTATTTATAACTTATAATTGCGATTTGGGTAGTTCTTTGGCTGGTTGTATTAGTCACTTATTTGCTGATGATTTAGCTGGAATTGTTACTGGTCAACTTGGTATTAAGTATACTTATCAATGTTTGGATTTAGAAAAACGTCTTAAAGTTTTTATCGATCATCTTGAATATTACTCGTGCCTAACTGATCAACCTATAAATACTAATAAAACCCAAGCTTTATTTACTACACGTGCTATTGGTCATCCTAAATTTGATATTCATTTTAATTCTGGTTCTAAAGAGAAAATCAGTTGGGTACCAGAATATAAATATTTAGGTTATCTAATTTCTTCTAAATTAGGTTGGGGTAAATTTCTCAAGTTTATAATGATTAAAGTGAGGCATAGAATTTCTTTGATTAAGTCGTTTAGGCTTTTTGGTTGTACATCACCAGCACTTCGCAAAGCTCTGTTCTTATCTTTTGTTCTGCCTATTTTTACTTGGGTCTATCCAATATTCCCATTTCTTTCTGTGAAACAACAAAGTGAGTTGTCTCACTTCTATTTTTCTTCACTAAGGCGTGTTATGTTTTGTCTTCATTGGAATGAGAATTTTTTTGCCTTTGCTTTGGATGAAAAATCTCTTGAAGATCGTTGTGCTGCGTATTGGGAGCGATATTTACATGCTCTCGCAGACTCAACGGATGGATTGTTATTATTCGAAAAGGCAAATCTTAATGTACTCAGGCAGAGTTGGATCAATAAAGACTTTTCAATAAAATGTCTTCGTAAATCCAAACGATTTATATCTAACGAATCAGTGATTGAAACGGTAGTTAGTTGGTTGAGTTCAGTTCCTTCTCTTTCTTCGATCCCAAACTATGAATTGGATGAAATCCAACTCCTCGAGGATTTTCCTGAATCTTTTCTGTTTTAAAGTATGTTTTCTTCTTATGTTTATTTTTATTTTATTTTTTTTTTTCTCTTTTCTCTTTGTCTGTTATTTTACTCTTGTTTCTTATTACATTGTTTGGTTTTTCTCCTCTATTGTTATCTTAGTTTGCTCTTCTGGTTTTCCTCTGTCTGAGGCCATCTTGTGATACATTATGATTATTGATAACACGGTTTTTTATTCGTATTATGATCATTATTATTATGATCATTATTATTATTATTATTATTATTTTTTTTTTTTTTTTTCTCTCATTTTTATGTACTGTTAGGATCTTTAAAGATCACAGTTATTGCATAATAAAAAAAAAAAAAAAAAAAAAAAAAAATAAAGAGAAAAATAGAAAATGACAATCAGAGAATATATGTAAGTATAGTTGAGGAACTATGTGGAATAGATTTACATCTAACTGTTACTTTGATATTTCTAGTATATTAGTTAAGTTCTTTCAATGCTGATAGATTGTTTGAAAATTGCTGTTATTGTTCATCATTTGCTTTTGGTGATTTTTCATTATTATGTTTAATTTGTCGTCTATTATTGTGAACATTTAAAAAAAACCCTCTGCAAGATATAATGCAAGAAAAATAATCAAGAAGTGGCAAACAATAATAAAAATTGAGAAACACTAAAAGCTGTTTAAAACTCATAAAAATAAATGATGAACAATATGTATTAGTTTGGATGTAAGCCATCAATATTAAAAGAATTCTTTAAGTATACTGAAAACATCAAACTATCATTCAGGCATAAATCTGTTACATGTACTTCTTTAACTATAATTTCATCATCTAGTCATTTGTTTTATATTTTTCTGTTTTCTTATATTTATATATAATCAGTTGGTTATGAAATAGAGTTTATAGTTAAAATAACTCAAAAGTATCTTGTTGGATCTTATCTTGACTTTCTCATTACATTGATGATTGAAATCGCATTCGCCCAAGTAAATAGGATACCATAAATCAATATCTGCACGTCCAACACTTTACTCCAGACAAACTAAGCAACAAAGAAAATAAAGCTTCCGTTTCAAGAATCACAATAAAATATATATTAGTTTCTTTAGGAAAATAGTTGATACTAATATCAACATATTTTACACTATTTGTGCTTTGCTTTTTTTTCTTCAATAGCGTCTTTATAGGAGGTGACAATAAAATTTATCTGATAGTTCATGAGCTATTCTTTTTTTGACATCACATATAAGTGAATACTTTTTGGAAAAATCTGTAAAAGAATTGTTAATAATATCTGAAGCATCATCTATTACTTTTTTTTTACGTATCATCATTTGACTTTGGATGATGATTTTTTTACAGCCTGAAATGCTGAAAAACAAAAGACTTTGAAATCTTATTAGTTTTTAATTAACTTAGAAGATTATTTAGATTGAATGTCGATTAAAAATGAAAGTTATACCTTTCATTTGATTTCATATGAGATGAGAAATGTTTCGAAATTTAATTATATATTCTTTTGATTAAATCACATCTAAATCTGTCTTGATGATGTTAAGAAATAAAAAAAATTTCTATAAATTATGGTAATATACTCATTGATATGAAATAAAAATGAATGGAGACTTGTGTGTCTATTTATCATAAACCTATTTTGAAAAGGAAGATATAACAATAATTTAGACCAATATGATAGAAATTAGCAAGGAATCATCATAGATATGACAAACATCGATAGAAATATTTCTCTTTTATCACAAATCATTAGCAATAGTTTAATAACATTTCCATATCTACACATCACAGATTATAAGACACTTTTGATACGCCACCAAATATTGTGCGTCAATAATATTTCATTCTAATCTATGAACTACTTCTGATATTCTGTAAAAAGAATGAATCCAGTTCTGATTTTGTTATCTCATATAATATGTATCGTCTTTTGACTAAAATACAGAGTTTTTTATCTATTTTCAATTTCTCTACTCTTACAACCACTTTCTTAAATATATTTTCCATGTAATCAACACATCGTAAAAACAGAATAATATCTTTATTATTATTATTTGAACTTGATAATTAACTTAAATTAATTCTACCTCAAAGTCACGTTAAACCAAGTAATGCAACTACACCAAATGCTGTTGATTGAGCACCAACATCTAAGTGATAAAAACGCTAAATTAAAAAACAACAAAATTTCTTACTTCTTGGTTGGAAAAAAGAAAAATAATCAAATTTAGTGTGAAAAATCTACCAATAGATTTTCTAGAAGGACGAAATTGTATTTCATATACTCCAAATAATATTTATTATTGGACTTAGAAATTTCAAGAGAACAATGTTTAAAATATGTCTCACCTAAATTGAAACCATACATAGTCTTGCAATCAAGATTTTTCTTCACTCACACAATTTCCTTTTTTCTGGCCTGGTGCCATTACTTAATTTAACACAATAGAAATTTATGTTCAATCATGGACTCAGAACTCTTGTAAATGAACTGTATTATCAAATTCTTGATAGTTCTTACTGTCTGATAGTTTCTCCTAGGTAGTATTATATTTTAGAAATAGATTAGGTTTTGTTTTCATTTGTTTCAACTTTTTGGAAAAATCTGAAACAGATATTACCTTCAATGTTTATAAAATGGACATTTCAAAGTATGGGCAAACTGCAAAGGTGAAGTTCTAATAGCAAACAATATATTTTGCTTAAGATAATTGTTGTTGATTATTTAAATAACTAACTTTTCTTCAATGAACAACGATTGTTTGATTAGTTGATAGAAATATTGATTTATCAACAGATATTCTATGAAAATCAAACTCATATTTATTTTTTCTTTGTCAACAGTTTGTGCATGTTGATGAGTCAATGAAATTTTCTCGACAAGTATTCACTTCTATAAAATAATTATCAGTTGTAATTATGATTTGTGCACCAATAACAATCATCACGAGTATGAAATATAACAAAATCAAGTAAATCTTCTCAGAAAGTACAAGAACAAGAATTAGAAATAAAAATTGATATGACATAAGTTCATTTAATGATAATATACTAATTAATTGACCACAAATGGCTATTTTATCTGATGAATAATCAGTTATTGAATTCCGTAACATTAAGTATCTAATAAAATGGTTGAATAGCAGATGAGTTGTCATTGTTAAAACAACGTTATTGGGGGTTGAAGATTAAAAGAAACTATTTAATTTGTTTATAATCCATTCGCCGGGATAGCTCAGTTGGGAGAGCGTCAGACTGAAGATCTGAAGGTCCCTGGTTCGATCCCGGGTCACGGCATAGTTTTTTTTCATTTTTCTATTACAAAATGAAATTATTTTGTTTCGTCTTTCTTTTTTCTCATAAAATATTATATATGAATGATTTTAATGGCAAAAGATCTAAACAATCATATAATGATTATCTTTTCAGTTTTCTCATCAACGTTTTTATTATCTGTCTGTTGAATCATATCAGCTACTCGATCATGATAAAAATCAAACATAGCACACGAAAATATGCAGAACAATGATTAGACATTTTTGAATTCTATCGTGTGTTGCTCTTTCAATTTAGGTAACTAATGAAGTTATCATTCAAAAATGTCTATCACAAAAATCTAACTAGTTTACGCCTTGCAAGTAATTGTACTTTTTCGTAAAATTGTCAAAAATAAAACATATGAGAATTTATCAACTTCATTTCATTTTCTTATATGCGAAAGCATGATAAACTAAGTTGCATATCTACTCATTCTCCTATTCATTAGCATTTGTAACAAAGTTCGATCCTA